GTGTGGCGGCAGTGAGCTGACCCTCCTGCTTCTGCCACAGGATCTTCCTTACACACAGTTCCTGAGTTTCCAGCAAGTTGCCTTTCTTCCCTCCTTTCTGGTATGAGCTGAGAACCCGGGCTGGAGAAAACAGGGTCTCAGTTTAGGTCTCCAGAGAGGTCGTGCTGAAGATGTGCTGAGGAACACTGGGCTGTCCCAAAGCTGGCTCAGGGGGACCAGACACGTCCAGGCTGTTTCAAGCTCTAAGTGCTGTGCTTCTGCCCCCTCTGTCTGGGTCCTGTGACACATCACACCCAAATGTGTGAATTCAAACCCCAAAAGGGCAGGGACCAGGCGATGAGCAGTCAGGGAGAAAACACATAGAGTCTGGGGCGGATGGGCCAACGTCCCACGCCTTCTGTTGCTGGAACAGACCAGTTTGCCTGGCACAACCAAAACCCAGGTCTTTTCTGCTGTGGGACGCTGGCCTGAAACCACTCCAACCAGTGAGTCTCCGCATTACAGCGTAGCTGTCTGGTCCTTGAAAGCACCTTTCCCACACGCTCTTTCTGTCTGGAAATTTCAGTGGGCCTTCTGGGGCGGAGCCATGGACACTGGGTGCCCAGTCCTGTTTCATGGGGAGTGAGGAATGCTTGAAGACAGGGGTCGGCCACACCCAGGGCAGGTGGGAAAGGGTAGTGGTGATGATGATATGTGTTCCTTGAGACAATATTTTGAACCTACTGCCTGTAGGATTTGACTATAGGTAGGTACAAGACAGATTGCCTTTTTTGAGAAGTCTCAAAAGAACAATAACTCTAAGACATGGTCCAGTAACTCTAAGAAATGGTCAGGTCACTGCATCAATTTGCTTCCTAAGAGAGCATGTACCCTGGATTCCTCCCTTTTCTTACTGGGAAACTGGGGACAATCTTGGAGTCAGGCCTTCTAGAAACACTTTCTATTCCAACAAGGTTTGAGGAGGTTTAAAATACAGGCTGTAAAAGCAACAGAGTAAATTAACAAAAATAAGGGGGAAAGAAGAGGAAGTAAAATGTGTTACCTTAAGTGCAAATAAGAGTTAACACCCAAGGGATCACATGTGCCTCTGTTCTTACTGACACGCAGGGGGGAAAGCACTGAGAAACTTTGCTAGGTTCCTCGCTGGTTTAAAGGTTGCTTCATTGGCTGTGCCTCAGATTCTTCGCCTGTAAAGTAAGGTAAAAGAACATCATCAGGGGTATACCGAGAATGTCACATGAGGTAATGCGCACAGAGCACCCGAAGCAATGCCTGGCACAGTAGGCATTCAATTGCATCATAGATTTAGTTATTATCACTTCACTCATCGGGGGCTTCAGTCAAGTGGATGGCAGGGCTGGGTATAAAGGCTTCCTTCCCACCTCCTCCCTGCTCCCACAAGTCCTAAGGGACCACCTCTGAATTGCCTTTGATCCTGGTCTGGCTCCACAGCGTCCCATCCCCAATCTAGAGCAAAGTCTACTGTTAAACATTTCTTCTTCAGAACATGACTAACATACTTTCTTAATCTTTGACTATAAGCTAAGTGACAATCAAAGCATTTGAAACATTTGGTTAAAGCCTATCTATAATAATAAAAGTGTAATATGCTAATTAGACCAGACGTCCTTTCCGACGAAGCCAGGGCTCTGAGGAAAGCTGGTGCCAGCAGCAAGGGGAAGACAGGCCTACTCTTGCATGCATTTCATGCATCAGGCCTCTAGTACCTATATGTTAACTAAGAATTAAATTATTGAACTCTAGCAGCCAAAAATACTAGGGGCATTAAAATCGTAAAAGGCTTCACTATAGTCACATGACTAGTGAGTAGCAGAGCAGGTGGTCTGGTTTTACCATCTGTGTGTTTAATCACTAGACCAAATGGCCTCACGAAGATGTTAGAAAATGTGTGCCAACACCTTCATTCTAACATACTCTTAGGATCTCTGCCCTCTTTCCCACGTTCAGCCATGAGGTCAGAAACCAGGGTCACTGTGTCCTCAGGCCTCCTCTTTTTTCCCCCTTTCAAGGCATTGTAACTGCTCTCCACAGGCAGAACTCCACCTGTTCGGAGACGAAGGCATCCGGACCACGGCAAGTCCAGGTCTGTAATGGCATTTTCCCTCAAGTGAGGCCGTCAGGACCCACCTCCAACCTTGCTTCCCCCCTTAGCCCACTTGGCAGAGGCATTCTGGCTTGTCCCAGGAAGGAGGATAGGAAGGATCATTCTAGAGCCTGAAGACGTGGACAAAATTCACTTGTATTGCAAGGGGATTCCCGTTGAGTGTCCCACCTAAGGAGCTTGGACTGCTTCACCTTGGTGGATCACTCATTCACCTGCACGGACATTCGAATGGCTGGCTGCCCCACTGCCTCACCCAGAGGTTGTCCAGCAAGTTTTCCAACTTAATGAGTTAATACCACAGACCCACGGATAGATGAAAAAAAACATACTGGGAAGAGTTCTAGACAAGTTCCTTATAAATAACTGCTTAGAAAATTGTTTTAAATGGCAGAACTCTAAAGATCTCTAACAGACGAGTTCTTTTATTCAACTTTAAAAATATATATGTTGTTGCTTTTATTTCAGAGAAGGGAGAGATAGAAACATCAATGATGAGAATCATTGATTGGCTGCCTCCTGCAGCCCCCTCCTGCATGTGCCCTTGATCAGAATCAAACCCAGGACCCTTCAGTCTGAAGTCTGATGCTCTATCCACTGAGCCAAACCAACTAAGGCTCAACTTTTTCATAAGCTTGAAATGAAGCAAGGGTGGAGAGGGTGGGTGGATGCCAGAATTACATCTGAATTGCCTTCTAGGGTCAGTGATCCCAGACATCCACTTCCTTTTTCAGACATGACCTTGGGCTCTGGAACTTTGTAAATTATTCACTATAACTCCACCACAGATAGGTCAGGGGATGCTCAGGTGGAGTTTAAGCCTCCATAGATGGTTCAGACATAGCAACAACTTATAGATTTATGTTTTTATTTTTGCTCTTCATATTGTGGCTGCTAGATATGGCAAAGGAAGGGGGAGCACTCTAGAACATTCTAAGCCTGGTAGGTCATTCTGGTTGGAATTTTTTTTTTTTTTAAATATATTTTTACTGATATTAGAGAGGAAGGGGAAAGGAGAGAGATCGAAACATCAATGCTGAGAATCATTGATCGGCTGCCTCCTGCACATCCCCCACTGGGGATTGAGCCCAGAACCCAGGCATATGCCCCTGACCAGAATGGAACCTTAGATCCTTCAGCCCGCAGACCCATGCTCTATCCACTGAGCCAAACCAGCAAGGCTCTGGTTGGAATATTTTAATCTACCACCCTGACAAGAGACCACTACCTTACTCTCCCATGGCATGATGGGTTGTCTGATACTCAAGCTTGTGACAAAATGCCACCAAATGAGCAGAGCCAAGGTTATTAATGTAAAAACCACACTACAGACCACGTGGGGATCAGAAGTCAATTTATCTTCCGCGATGGGATGCAAACAGAACATGGCCTCCCATCCTTGGGAATTAGCATTTACTGAACGTTCTGGTCACTCTAAAACACAGTTACATTGAATTCCAGCCACAAGGCAGATATCCTAAAAATTCACATTCGGGAGGGAGCAGTCGGATATCTTGGGACTCGCTCTGGGTGACGCAGTGCAGGCAGCAGGAGCTGGGATGGACTCCGCATGGGTGTCCTCCTCCTCGCCCCGCCCCCGCCAGAAAGCATTGTCGTCCGCGAGGGTCAGTGACCCAACCGGAGCGTCCTGGTGCCCCGGACTCTCTTGGGGGCGGCCCGATTCTCGGGACTGACCACCCAGCCTCCATCCGGTGCGCGAATGCGGGAGCGAGGCCAACGCGCCTCTCTCCTCCCGGGCGGGGCAGCGCCTGTCTGGCCAAGGGCATCCCAGGGGCGGGAATGTGCGGGAACTGTGTTCGCAGCATCACCGGCCAGGCGCGGCCTCCCGACGCGGCCGGTTACAGATGCCCTCCAAGTGCGGATTGGGGCGCGGCCTGCTCCATAATTAGGGGCTCGCGGGAGGAACCAGGAACGGCTGTGATCGCGGCCTCAAAACCCCACAGACGACCCCCACTGTCAGCGAGCTGCAAGGCCCGGCGAGGCGGAAACCCCCGGCCCAGCCCCGCCGCGCGCCTCCTCCGCCCGAAGGGATCAGCTGCCCGTGGGGGCGTGGCCTCCAGCGCGCGACGGGCCAATGAGCGCCGGCGCCGGGCTTTTCCCGCTGGGCCAGCCCGGCGGGCGGGAGTGCGTCACCGGGGGCGGAGCTCCGAGGTGGCGCGCGCGCGCGCGACGGGTCACGTGGGCCGCGCGCCGGTTATAAAGTGCGGGAGCGGCGGGTGCCATCAGAGTGATGGCCGCTGGCTAGCGTTGCTACTTCTCCTCCGTGGCTGAGGCACTGCGCTGCTCCTCCGAGGTTCCAACCCCGCCCGTCGTGTGCTCGCCGCCTGGACCTCCCCGTCTGTGTCCGCCCTCGTCTCCCGTGGTGAGTGGGGCGCCGCGGGGAAGGGCGCTTTCTCTCCGGGCAGGCGGGACTCCTGCCTCGTGCGTCCGCCCGCCCGCGGCCTTTTTGGCGGCCCCGGCGCGCGGGAGCGGCCTGTTTCGGTGTCCACGGAGGGCGGGCGGGCGGGCGGGCGCGGGGAGGGGCCCGCCACGTGCTGGCCGCGCGCCCAGCCCGGGGCTGTGGGCGTGCGCCATCGCGGTTCTCTGTCCCCCCAGGATGAGCCAGTGTCCCCGCGCGCCCTCGCCATGGCCTTCCGCGCCGCGCCGCTAGCCCCCCGGAACTCGAGGCGTCCCGGACCGCAGATGCCCGCGCGCAGCGTATAGCAGTGGCCGGCCCGGTGTCCGCCGCAGTTTACAGTATTTAATTTTATATAATATATATTATTTATTAGAGCGTCTGTGATACCTCATTCTCATTCTGTTTACACGCCTGAAAGCTGCGCAGTAGTTGTCGGTAGTTAAGGCCGCCGCTTCGGGGATGGCGTCCACCGCGGCCACGCTGGTGGCCAGCACCGCAGCCACACTGATGGTCAGCACCGTGGCCACGGCCACCGGCCCGCTGGACAAGTACCTGTGGTTGCTGATCCTGGGCTTCGTCATCGCCTTCGTGCTGGCCTTCTCCGTGGGTGCCAATGACGTAGCGAATTCGTTTGGCACGGCCGTGGGCTCGGGAGTGGTGACCCTGAAGCAGGCCTGCATCCTGGCGAGCATCTTTGAGACCGTGGGCTCCGTTCTGCTGGGGGCCAAAGTGAGTGAGACCATTAGGAAGGGCCTGATCGATGTGACCATGTACAACACGACCCAGCACCTGCTGATGGCCGGCTCTGTCAGTGCCATGTTCGGTGAGTTCTGTGTTATGTCGTCCCCTCCGTGTTGGGGGAACAGACGCCTGCCTATCACATGATTTCCTTCAGAAAGGCACTGCATATATAATGGAGTTTTGTCGTTTACTAAATAAAACTTTACTGTGTTTCAGGTTCTGCCGTGTGGCAGCTAGTGGCTTCGTTTTTGAAGCTTCCCATCTCTGGAACCCATTGTATCGTGGGCGCAACCATTGGTTTCTCCCTTGTGGCACAAGGACAGGAAGGTGTCAAGTGGTCTGAACTGGTCAAAATTGGTATGTTTAATTCAGAATGACTTCTTAATTCTCGTCATGTTCCATGGCATTACGTTGGGGAACATTGTGTAAAAGGGAGGGACAGATTAAAGTTCTGGGAACAGAATACAAAAATTTAAAGTGTGTATTGGTTTCCCGACTTTTGTGAGTTGTTGATATTTGTTCTTAATGTGTTCTATTCCAGTGATGTCTTGGTTTATTTCTCCGCTGCTTTCTGGTATCATGTCCGGAATTTTATTCTACTTTGTTCGGATGTTCATCCTCCGTAAGGTAATTTCTCTCCCCCCTTTTATGACCGTTAAGTGTGTCTGGTATTTAGACCAATAGCATTCTTGCAGTGTAATTGGTGTGTAGGTATATATGGCCTTGGACAGCTGAAAAATTCTTTGTTCTGTGCACCTTTTGTATGTTGCTAAGTTCTCAGAAAGAAGCAAGCTTGCACCAAAAGGGTGTTCTGGAGGGGAAATTGAATGAGTGCTTTGGTGTGCCAAGGAATAAGAAAGACAGGGAGTGGAAAATTAGGGAAATGTATTTAAGGTGGTTTTGCCCAGCTATATGCAGATTACTACTTAAAAACCCCCATTAGGTAGACTGTTTTGAATTGTAAGCTTGGGGTTCAACAATTCATTATGTCCCCTATGGGCTTTTTTTTCTTAGTGCCACTAAGAGTGGTTGGGTCTGCATAGTTAATTCAGTAGAGCTGATTATCCTTATAACCTGTTTATAAGCTACTAGGTGGAAACTTTGCTTCTCACTGTGACTTAGACTCTAATTCCTTAGAACTGTTTTGTTTTTCTGGGCCAGAAAAAAAATCCAGAGAGCCTTTTCATTTCCTGTCCACTTGAAAATGCCTTTTCAGGGACTCGATAGCATTTCTTTTATTAAGAAGTCTGATGCTGGCTCCAAGGTGGACAACAAGGGGTGTTGTCAGTGGACTGAGTTACAGTGAGAATAAATGTTTTTTTCTAAGAAAACAAAGTTGTCTTTTTTTTTTTTTTTTTTTTTTTTTAAGGTAAATGGCTCTTAACTGTCCATTGTAAGTTCTTAAAAATGCTTCTAGGTGAAGGAAATCTGAGTGAAGGGAGATAAGTAGCTTTATCCCCAGGGGTAAGAATATGTGCAGACCCACTTGTTTGGTCTAGTTGTAGGCTTCTCTAGGGAAGGAATTGTACCTCTTCTCTATAGAAACTGACTGGCATTAGCATGGAAGAATAAAGCAGTTCAGTGCTTTGAAAATTTGAAGCATTTGTAGCCTGGAATAATTTGAGAGTAAATAGTTCATTGATATTAACTATCTCAGAGTTTGGTATTGTTTATACTGTAAGCTAGTATGACTACATCTACCTTCCCACTTCCCATAGCTGTCTCATATAACAATGTGATGCTTAAATTGGAGGCTTGCTAGTAATCTCAGACCAGATGTTTTAGTATTATTATTAGTCACACAGCTTTCTGCCATCAGTGACCAGGAAAATTGATAGAGAATCCCTTATTAGAGATTCCTGCTTATATAAAGGTTTACACTGGGTCTCTGTTGATTGATTATTGGGAAGTAGATGCATCTGATACTGGGCAAAACAAAGTTATCTTCTTTACGGGGAATGGTAGTGCTCTGAGGTACAACGAGAGATTTTTGAGATGCCATACCTATTGTTTGAGGAATGCATGCTAGGTACTTTTATCGCCAGTTATTGAGAGCTTCAGTTAGATATATTAACTTCTTTAAAAAAAAAAAAAAGTGTTTTTATTGGTTGTAGAGAGAGGAAGGGAAAGGGAGAGAGAAACATTGATCTGCTGCCTCCTGCATGCTCCCTACTGGGGATTAAACCCATAACCTGGGCATGTGCCCTGACTGGGAATTGAATTTGTGACCTTTGGACCTTGATGCTCAACCAACTAAGCAACACTGACTAGGGCTATATTAAGTTGTATGGGTATGAGGTGGACATGATCAAGAATAACTGAAATAGTGTTTAAACCAAAATTGACTTTGAGGGTCTTCCTCACCTCCCCCTTTCCCCTCCCCTCCACCCTAAGGCATGTACTCATGCATATATTCTATCCATTCTGTCAATAACATGAGTTTTCAGGCAGTGAGTGAATATTTCTGATTAGATAGGTTTTAAACTCAGAAGTCATCCTTAGATGAGTAACTTTTGGGGGTCCTGGCTATTAAAATTTTTCAACTTAAGTTTTTGTTTTGGAAGTTGACATTGAAATTACTTTTTAAAAAGTTTCCGTTCTCTGAATGTCTGTTCCAAGGGCGTTGAGTAGTCTAGTAGGAAAAAGCAGAATGGAGATAAGGTAATTCTGTTAAGGACTGGGCAATAGCCCTAGCTGGTTTTGCTCAGTGGATAGAGCGTTTGCCTGTGGACCAAAGAGTACTGGGTTCGATTCTCATCAAGGGCACGTACTTTGGTTGCAGGCTTCTCCCTAGTCTGTGCCCTGGTCAGGGCTCTTTTGGAAGGCAACCAATCACATCAGTGTTTCTCTCTGCCTTTCCCTCTCTCTTCCACTCCCCATAAAAATAAATGGAAAAATATCCTCGGGTGAAGATTAACAACAACAATAAAGAAGGACTGGGCAATAAACAGGAATAAAGAAAGGGGAGGTTTTCCTGTTGAGTATTTAAATTCTAGTTAAAATGAGTCTCAGCATTTCCCTTCCTTTCTATTAGGAATCACATTGAATATATCTAGGACATCTTTTCAAATTCAAAAACATTTTTTCTTTAGACAAGCTTACTGGAACATTTAATATGTAAAACATGAAGTGTTCTGGTTGAAGATGGGGGATTATGGAAATCCCTTTCCCATCCCACATAAATGAATAAAACACGTTATTTCCAGATAAAGTTTTAAGGAAATGTTCAGTGGGTCGTTTAATGATAAGTATTTCATAAAATTGTTAGCCTTTACATTTTAACCAGTGGGAACAGGAGTGACTGAAAAGTTTGGAGTAAAAGGGAGAGATAGATTGCTCAGGTCTCTCCTTTTACCTAGACTCTTACGAACTTTTTTATTTTTTTAAACCATGAGCCTGTTATTTCATAATAAACTATAGTAGTAGTCGTCATTCCTTATTCCATGTAATTTATTACTGATTACTTTGGCATATGTATGATAATTGAGCTATACAGGAAAAGAAATACAGCCCTAGCTGGTTTGGCTCAGTGGATAGAACATTGGCCTGTGGACTGAAGAATATCCAGTTCTATTCCAATCAAGGGCATGTGCCTGGGTTTGGGCTTGATCTCCATAGGGGGCATGTAGGGGGCAGCTGATCTGTGATTCTCATCATTGATGTTTCCATTTCTCCCTCTCTGAAATCAATAAAAATACATAAAAAAGAAAATGAAAATGCATGGTTACTTCCTTTTTGACCAACCAAGTTCAGTTTGATATCAAAATACGAAATATTATTTGAAAATTTGTTATGAGAAGTCCCTACTTAGTCTGTATAACCCTAATGGGTTTTGACTGGGGGGCATGGGAGGGGAGGTTTTTAGGTTCTTTGGAGAGTTTTCTTCATACCATGGGTAGTTCTTAAAAGAAAAACCTGTATATCTATCCCTCAGGTTCATAACCTATTGACTGGCCTTAGGGTGTGACCCTTATTATTTGAGTTGCTCAGGGAAGCTTAACAGTCCCTAGGTTCTCTGTGCTACTCATTGTCTTTATTTTGGCTGTTTACTGGTAGCTAGGGGAGCTAAAACTCAGAGTGCTTTTCAGTAAGGGCCCATCTCTACTGACTGGGGTGGCACCTTTACTTAGCTTTTGGGTCTTTACCTTTCTCTTCCTCTCCAAGTTTTTCCTTTGGATTGTGATCAAGACAGTAGTAAACCTATAGGTAACATCTTTACAGGTTAGCCTTCCCATGTATTCAGATCCATGCTCTCATTCTTTAAGTGTTCGACTTTCGTCTTTTCCTGCAAAATTATTACACATTTGTTGTAAGTGGAGCTCTTGTCTCCAGTCACACTAGCTTTTTTACTGTTCTTAAACATTTGAAGTTTTGCTTCAGGGCCTTTGCACTGCTGACATCGCTATCTAGAATATTTTGCCCATGCCCTCCATTCCCCAACCCCATCCCACCAGATTGCCAGGTAGCCGGCTCCTCTACCCCTAAGTGTGTGTACATGGTTATTGACTTAAATATTCATGTTTTTGCTTAACTGATTCTCCCTTCCACCCCTTTCCCTGAATTAAAATGTATGCCTCCTTCCATCATTTCTTCCTACCCTTCTTTATTTTTCTTCATAACATTTGTCAGTACTTTACATTATTCTATGTTAGAATGTAAATATCAGTTCTATGATGGCAGGGACATTATTTAATTTACTTCTGTATTTCAGTGCCAAGAATAGTGCTTGGCACAGTCTGTTGAATGATGAGGGGTAATCTTGTGCATAATTGTTTTTTTTCTTAGCACTTGGGTAAATCATTAATAATTGGTGTATTTATCAGATGACTAGATAAGGTGGTTGTTATAGGTATATTGTATTACATAGGGTATTTTTAAGAAAACTTTGAGGTAAGAAATGTTCTAACATATCAAGGTCTGTTTCTTGACATCTCTTAACAAATGTCTTCTATACTTTCAGGTGTGTGTTCAGATTTACATCTGGAACTCTTAGTGTTAACCGATTTTCTGGGACATTACTGGTATAGTCTTGTTTTGATAAAACAAAAACTCAAAACAAAAAGCACATAAACTTAAATTCAGGTAGCTGTAAATTAACCTTGATGAACAGACTTCCAGGAGCAGATGTAGTATAAACCCATTGGGCTTGGGAACTACCGTGGAGAAACAGCTATTGGCACCAGAATTCCTGAACTTGCCCTTTTACAAGGCTCTATAGACATGGTTAATTTCACAGCTTTTGGGTATTGATCTTAATGTTATTTTACAGGAAGATCCAGTTCCTAATGGTTTGCGAGCTTTGCCAGTTTTCTATGCTTGCACAGTTGGGATAAACCTGTTTTCCATCATGTATACTGGAGCACCTTGTAAGTATATATCAAAATATTTATATGTGAATTTAAAGTTGTTTACAAAACTTGCATTAAATGCCCAATTTACCCCTTTTTGCTTTACAGGGCTGAAATCTCCTAGAAGGTGGCTGGCCTGCACCCATTTCAGAAGGCTGCAGGCTAGTGTATGCTGAGTTAACCTAGATAGTTTTTCAACCAAAGAGACCTGCTCAGATTCTAAATCACTACAGACCTTTACTCTTTAGTCTTCACAGGACCCAAGACAATATGGTCTTCTCCCTCCCTTTCTCCTATCTATGCCAAAAATATTGGCATTGGTACTGGCCTGAACTCCTGGCTGCTGAAGAGTTCTTAGTTATGTCTGGTGTTCAATAATCAGCCATTTAGCACTGGTTTGCTTGATATTTTCATTTTCTCTCCCAAATGGAGTTACTTTTATTGTATTAATTTACTCCCCTAAACCTGCTTGCATAAGAAGAGTTGGGATGTTTAACACCTGGTCTAAGTGCATGTGGAAGAAGAATATATGCAGCTAAGAGAAAAAGTACTTTGTGGGAATGTAAAAATTGAACTATTACTTCATGTTGGGGCTAAGGCAATTAGTGGATTAAATTATGATGCATGTTTAATTTAGCAAATAGAAAAGATTGACAACTTGTAACGTGTCGGCAGGGCTCACCTGTCTTGATCAGCTTAGTTGTGCTGTCTAGGTTCATTTGGCATGAGGGCCTTTGACCATTAAGTTAGTGCTCCTGTCCTTTGGAAGTATTACATGAACGTTGTTGCCCAGGACACATGCACATAGTGAGGGAGAGGGGAACAGGAACTGGAACAGTATCTGGAAGCTGCAAGACCTATGAGCATATTGATCTTAGAGCATACTAGACACCTTACCAATTGCTGCAGGCATGGAAAAGCTTACGTGCAGCACTTGCATTGGTTTAAATTGGGTTCTTCATGCTAACCTAAGAAGTCTCCAAGATGCTTTCAGCGCGGGTTTATGTAGCAGCAGCAGAGCTCATAGTTCAGTGAAATTAGAAACTTTTTGAAACGGGAACTTAGGTATTTTTAGTTTGCCTTTTGTGGATCATTTACAAGAAAAACTAGTTCCATTTCCCTTTTTAAACTTGGGATATGGACAAATTTAAATTGTGATAATGATATTGATTGAATTTCATGTATCTTATAGTTTGTGACTTTACATGATCAAGCTTGATAGTGGGAATTGAAATGAAAAGACTTGTAGTCGTTATAAAACTTGCATTTTGAAGGGTTCTCAATTTACATATGACTAAATAGTAATCGTTTTTGAGGGGCCAATAGAATTTTCATTTTATAAGTAATAATCAAAAGCAGAATAACTATAAGTGACTAAGCTCTTGGACAAGCTAGAAGTCATAACATCTTTTATGCTTAAATAGATTCTCTGGTGTTTTGCTTTTGTCATAAATATACACTAGAGGCTTGGACATGTCAGTGGTAAGCAGATGGTGGCTAATATTAATGATCCCTGAGCCCTATGAAAAAGTAGACCAGTTTCTAAGATACAGCTTATGATTACAACTACCACTAAGTTATTTTCCTTTTGTGAAAGACTCCTTTGAACTGTTATGTTTTGATAGATGATATACTTGTTTTCTGTATCTTAGTTTGATGAGTCTAAGAGATAATAATCTTGTTTTAAAGGATTTTGCTGGAGGATAGTACGATGGCTGTGATAACACCACAGAGAATTCTATCAGTATAACAGATGTGACTCTGGCACCTTCCTATGTAACGTGCACAGCCACCATCTGGAGACGGGAGTGGAGTGGTTCCATTTTCAGAGCTAGTAGATTGTCAGTAGAGTAATCCCCCTGTCTAAGGCAAAGAAAGGGAAAAGGCTAGTTTGTGAAGGCACTTGGGAGACAGGGAGTCAGTCTAGTAGGTATTTAAAGTGGGCCAGACTGGTGTGGGTGTCAGGTGACAACTAGATTTTCCTCCCAAGTCTGTAGCCATGAGCACAGTAGCTCCTGTGGACCTAATGCTGGCAGCTGCTGAGGGGCGATGGGCTGGCGTGGGGAACCTGAGTCCCCACAGGAGGGTTTACACACTGTTGCAAGGGCTTTAGCCCTGGGGTTTTCAAGATGCACCATTTTATCTCCTAGTGCTGGGCTTTGACAAACTTCCTCTGTGGGGCACCATCCTCATCTCGGTGGGATGTGCAGTTCTCTGTGCCCTTATCGTCTGGTTCTTTGTATGTCCCAGGATGAAGAGGAAAATTGAACGTAAGTATCACATTGTAACAGAAAATGTAACTTGTAATGTGCTGTCTTTTTATTTGGCCACCTATAAAATTCCACCATTTGGATATATTGACAATGTCATTTTAAATGAATATTTGAAGCTATGGGTTTATCATCAAAGTTATATTCTTATTGACTTAAAAATTATCTGAAACTGGTTAGAGGGAATGTTAGGCCTATGCTGGGGACACAAGCTGGGCATATATTAGTGAACTGTATCACTAAGAGAAAAAGTACAGTTTCCGGTAATAGACAAATAGATGGTGAAGACTACATTAAATGAGAATAGTTAAGAGTACCTTAATGAAAAATATGAATCAGGTACAAAATGCTTTCCTAGAGGAAACATTTACCCTCATTCTGTGTGAAACTTTATATTTAGACATTCAAAACTATGGCTGTTGTATATATCCGACTTCACAGTTCTCAGAATTGTAGCACAAATTCTAGAGGTGAACTTTTCCAAGTGTCATTTAGGCTTCTTTTAGGCCTACACACAGTGTTGTACTATAATTAAACACCAAGTAAATTTTGGTTAGTCTTAAATCTTGTATTCCTTTCCTTATTGGTGGAGTTCTCTTAATATAATCTTTCTTGCCCTTTTCACTTGTAAATGCTCAATTGGTGATGTGGTTTGCTATTTGCAAGGGAGGCAGCACCGGCTGCAGTGGCCTGGGGAGCAGTGCTGTGTCATGCCACTGCACTGAGCGCCTGCGCACAGTGGGAACGAGGCTTCAGTACTTGCTGACCTTGTTTCCCCTTAGTCTGGGAGAGGATGATACAAGTCTCCCTAATGTTTTATATCCAGCTCTAGCTTGACTGTGATGCCTGAATGAGCATGCAAACTCTGGGCATTGGCTTGATAGGCAGAAAATACCCCTACCAGGTTGTGGAATTTAGACACGGGCACATCTCTCTTTTATAGAAGTGGAAATTAGAGTTGTCATCTTCAGTTGCCTGCACTGAGCTGTGCTGCTTTGCTTGAATTCATGGAGGAACTTTTGGGGGAATTCTTTCATAAAAACATGAACTAGATGCAGTCCAAATTCCAATCCGTTGCCAGCCTTGGCTCGAGTTACCTTTCACTTCAGAACAGGTCGGCAGGGAACTAAGCATGGCTTACGTGCAAAGAACTGTAAAGGAAAGGACACGACAGAACCCACAAAGCTTTTGCTTTTGGGGCCTTTACTGAAAGACTGCAGCCCCTGATACTAAGTGTCCTGCATTGCTGTTTTCCTCCCAGGAGAAATGAGATGAGGCAAATACAACAGATAGAAAGATTACTTCTGAATTTGTACTGAAGTTTACATATGTTGAGATGGACTTTTTTGAAGTGGGGGAAGGGGAGATGTGGAACAAGTTGGTTTGGTCAAAACCAAACAAAAATTTCTTTCTTTCTAGGAGAAATAAAGTCTAGTCCTTCGGTAAGCCCCTTAATGGAAAAAAAGATTAGCTTGAAAGAAGACCACGAAGAAGCAAAGCTGTCTCTTGGTGACATTGAAATCCGGAGCCCCATTTCTGAGGTGGGGCCTGCCACTGTGCCCCTGCGGGCCGTGGTGGAAGAGAGGACTGTCTCCTTCAAGCTGGGAGACTTGGAGGAAGTGCCGGAGCGAGAGCAGCTTCCCAGTGTGGACCTGAAAGAGGAAACCAGCCTGGACGGGCCCATGAACGGTGAGTGGAATTTCTTCGGCGGGGAAACAGTTTCACTTTTCTGCTGGTGAAGAGACTCACTGCCTTTCCTGATGCTCTTTGTATTGACGAGTCCTTTGGTCTTGGCCAGGTGCCGTGCAGCTGCCTAATGGGAACCTTGTGCAGTTCAACCAGGCCGTCAGTAACCAGATCAACTCCAGTGGCCACTACCAGTATCACACCGTACACAAGGACTCCGGCTTGTACAAAGAGCTGCTGCACAAGCTGCATCTTGCCAAGGTGGGCGACTGCATGGGAGACTCTGGTGACAAACCCTTGAGGCGCAACAATAGCTACACTTCCTATACCATGGCAATTTGTGGCATGCCTCTGGATTCATTTCGTGCCAAAGAAGGTGAGCAGAAAGGTGAGGAGATGGAGAAGCTGACGTGGCCGAATGCAGACAGCAAGAAGCGAATTCGAATGGACAGTTACACCAGCTACTGCAATGCTGTGTCCGACATTCACTCGGCCTCTGAGATGGACATGAGCATCAAGGCAGAGATGGGTCTGGCTGACCGAAAAGGAAGTAGTAGCTCACTAGAAGAATGGAACGATCAGGATAAACCAGAAGTATCTCTCCTCTTCCAGTTCCTGCAGATCCTCACGGCCTGCTTTGGCTCATTTGCCCATGGTGGCAACGATGTCAGGTTGGTGACTTTGAATCTTAGCACTTATTCTATTTTTAAACTGCTTATATTTTTATAAGGCTATGCTTGTGGCTGTGGTGCTTATACCATCTGTGAGACTGAATATCTAGATAGGATGAGGTACTGGCAGTTAATTTACTTAATAAAACCAGCAGCAAAATTTTCTTTGGAGAGATCTGTAAGTGGTAAACAGATATTGTTCAGAGAAGCCTTTTTGTCTATGGAGATGGGACTCAGTTCTCTGATAATAAATTTTGGGACGTAAGGTGGAAAACAACATCATTGCCTTGTGACACCATAGAGTTTGCAGGCTATTGGCTTTAGTTCTGTGATTCATAAACTGTTGGAGCCGAGTTGCTTTAGGCTCCCTGTGAGAAGACAGTCCCCATATGCATGGTGCCCCTCAGAGCAGCTCTCCTCTTCTGTACGTGGGTTCCATTCATTTTCTGTGAAACAGACCTATTTGCTAATTAGCTCCAGGCTTCATTCAAGACAACTATTAAGTTCCTTAGTTTTTTAGTTTTGTCTGAAAAGTTCATCTTTGCCTCATTTTTCTTTTAGCAACGCCATTGGCCCTCTGGTTGCCCTGTACCTGGTTTATGAAAGGGGAGATGTATCTTCAAAAGTAGCAACCCCAATATGGCTTCTGCTGTATGGTGGTATTGGCATCTGCATTGGTCTGTGGGTCTGGGGAAGGAGAGTCATTCAGACCATGGGCAAAGATCTGACGCCAATCACACCCTCCAGGTAAGCTGGGAAGGGGGTCTTGTTCCTGAGGTACACACAGCTGTGGTGCTGCCACATGAATCACTCTTTAGTTAAAGTGACCCAGTTTGTATAAGTTCTTGATGATCTCACTGTTGCTGTGAACTTTTTAGATTTTACTTATTATATGGCCCTTAAGCCTAATTTTGGTCAAATATTTATTCAATTCCAGTGGTCTCAAAACAATAACTTTTTTTGAGGAAGATGATATACTCAGTACTCAGTCTTTGTTTTTTTATGATGGTCTGTTTTTTTTTTGTTTTTTTTTTTATTTTGTTTTGTTTTAATCTTTCAGAGGAAGGGAGAGGGTGAGAGAAATAGAAACATCAGTGATGAGAGGATCACTGATGGGCTGCCTCCTGCACACCCCATACTGGAGATAGAGCCTGCAACACAGGCACGTGCCCTGACCGGGAATTAGACCATGACCTCCTGATTCATTGGTCAACGCTCACCCACTGAGCCATGCCGGCCGGGTGCCTTTGTTTTATTTGGAACCCAAAATGGACGTCTAACAAAAGTGAATGTTGTTCATGGGCTTCCACGAAACCTTGAAACCTCACATGTTAGAGAAGAGGGAGAAGAGAATTCCCATGGCCTGATTGAAAGGAGATTTTAAGAGTTCTAGTCCTTTAAAGAGGTCCGTGAGTGGGGCGTGGCAAGTTGGCATTAACTTTGAGGTAGTGGTAGCTTATCAAAAAAACCAAGTTTCATTCTTAACAAGTCATCTTTTTGTGTCCATAGTGGCTTCAGTATTGAACTGGCATCTGCCCTTACTGTGGTAATTGCATCCAACATTGGCCTTCCCATCAGTACAACTCATTGTAAAGTAAGTGTTAAGTCATCTGCGGTGTCATTTGAATGGTTCTGGTAATATGTAAGCTTTTAAAATATATATGTATTTTTATGGATTTCAAGTGGAAGGAAGAGATCTAGAAACATCAGTGATGAGAATCATTGATCGGCTGCCTTCTGCATTCCCCACACTGGGGATGGATCCTGTAACCCAAGCATGTGCTCTGACCGGGTTTCGAACCATGATCTCCTGGTTCATAGATCAACATTCAACCATCGAGCCATGCCGGCTGGGCTAGGCTTTTTATACACACACATACACATACACACACACACACACACACACACACACACACTTTGGTTTAGAAACTTATGCAGTGCAATCTTGAAGAGTTGCAAGTTAAGGACATGTGTCAAGAATATAAAGCCTTACATTTTACAATTTCTTTACTCTTATTTAAGCAGATAATACTCTCCCCAAATGATGCAAAAGTCCTTTCCTGTAGAGCCAGCAAGTCTATGATGGTTGAAGGGTAGTTTATATAGAGCCTGTCAGGATTGAAGCGCTAAGAAACCTATTGAGCCCTAGGGTTGCTTGGTGGCCTGTCATGTAATTTAAGGGAAAGGGAGAATCGCTTCTTTGTTAGTAACTTTTCTTCCAAGATCTCCCAGCAGGTGATCAGCTAATAGCCTCACTATAGAACAATCTTGGAAAAACCTACAACTTAAAAGTAACTTATAAATTATTATTGGTGCAAGACATGAACTTCCAGTAGCTCAGAAGGAAAAGGTAGTGTTCTTATCCTACCATAATATACCCCAGTTAATACCGGTAAATTGAATGGTTGGGTTTTTATATTGCCTTCATTTTCCCACAGGTAATCTCCTTAACCTGTTACACACCAGCTTTCATGGGCTTGGTCTAGTTCAGCAGTCTGGTGCTCCTTACCTACTACATCACGCCTCTCTACCAGAGTACCATTGGAACTTAGTAACCAATTCTCTTGCCTGTTTCTCTCCTAGGTGGGCTCTGTTGTGTCCGTTGGCTGGCTCCGATCCAAAAAGGCTGTTGACTGGCGACTTTTTCGCAACATATTCATGGCCTGGTTTGTCACGGTCCCCATTTCTGGTGTAATCAGCGCTGCTATCATGGCGTTGTTCAAATATGTCATCCTCAGCAAAAACTATTCGGGATGAGAATTGTGCCAGTGTTTGGACCACTGCAGCATTCCTGCTCCTCTGAACGATTGCCGTGATACAGGAGACCCAGGACAATCTTTACAGTTTGGGAGCTGTGGGAGGAAGTATTACTTGTGCTACATTTGCTTTTGTGCTAAATATGACTTGTCTCAAAATTAGCTATTTAAATAGCCAGGTTTCTACTGGTTCCTATTGGCTGTGACTTCCTGTACATATTTATCTACTTTTTGTACCCGGCTTCAATTCCATTATGTTTTAATGTTGTGTCTGAAGATAACTTGTGATTTCTTTGTTTTCTTAAACACCATTCAGAGCCATTTGACATACAGTGAGTGTGCTCTGTTTGGGGGTGTCACCAGCTTCTGCCTGAACACGCACAGGGACTTAACAACAAAAACATATCTGAAGCTTCCCTTGTAGTCTCTTAGACAAATAGTCATTTGCACTCTGCCCTCCTGTTGGCAGTGGCAGGTTCTGCTGGTGTTTGTGGCATTTGTGGGGACGAGGTTCTTGGGCACAGTAAGAATTTAAATTAGTAACTTCCTGCAAGCAGTGGACTGACTGACTTATTGCCATGAAGAAGTAGGAAGAAAGCCCCCCCTGGCAGGTGTGGTTTCTTTAAGATTTCTGACAGTGTGGGATGGATGAATGGAGTGTGAACTTTGGGCAAATTAAATGGGACAGCCTTCCATGTTCATCTGTCTACCTCTTAACTGAATAAAAAGGCCTACAGTTTTTAGATAATTTGTTGTCATGGTTTTTGTTCATATGTGAAGCACTGGGGCTCCTGATTAGTTGGCCTTAGCCATTAACAAGTGACACCAACACCCAACTTCGAGTTCCCTACTCTTCCTCGTTGCGGTGCCTGTGATCTCACGACACAACATCCTCCAGGGGACTATTGGAAGTGCGGCATATTTCCCCTCAAAAACATTACTTTTTTTTTTTCAACTACAGTTAACATTAAATAATGTATTAATTTTAGGTGTATGCATTTTTCTTTATACTGACATAACCTAGACATTTTCACATTGCACATACAGATCTCACTGTTTTTAACATCCATAAAGTTCCCTGTTTGAACAAAGTATTTTTTAATTTTTGTTTTGTTAATCCTCACGATATTTTTCCATTCATTTTTAGAGAGGAAAAGACAGAAACATTGATGTGAGAGGAATATCGGTTGGTTGCTTCCTACATGTACCCAGACCAGCGTTTGGGCTGGGGAGGAGCCTTCAACCAAGATACATGCCCTTGACCACAATCGATCCTGGTACCCTTTGTTTTATTTTATTTTATTTTTAAATATATTTTATTGATTTTTTTTTTTTTACAGAGAGGAAGAGAGAGAAACATCTATGAGAGAGAATCAACTATCAGCTGCTTCCTGCACACTCCTACTGGTGATGTGCCCACAACCAAGGTATATTCCTTTAACAAGAATCGAACCTGGGATCTTTGAGTCATCAGGCCGACGCTCTATCCACTGAGCCAAACAGCTTTGGCAAAAACTGGGCTTTGGTCTGCAGGCCAAAACTGGCTAGGACTGAATGGACTATTTTATAATTGTTTTCCAGCTTTGCTATTACAAAGAATGCTCAGGTGTGTGTATTGCAGGCTCAGCTTCATTTAAATCTTCAGTATTGGTTCCATTAGTCCTGACCATTATCTTTGTAAATGGAAAGTGTAGTTTCTGCCCTGAGAGCCGAGTTTTAGGAAGATGCTTTTTGGCAACCAGACTGCCTGCAAGATTAGATTTGTGCCTGAGGGATTTGATCACTGGTTGGGTACATGCTTCACAGAATCCTCAAGTAAATGTTCATCAGGCCCTGCACTAAGCTCTTTATGCACATTTAACCCTGAGACTTGTAGTAGGTCTCATCTTTATTTTACAGCTGATGAAAGGGGCCTGGAAAATACGCTAGTGCGTATTGTGGGGCTGGCTGGAGGTGGCCTTGTGTGGCTTTATTTGAGGAAGGAGGCCGGGCCTGTGCTAAAGGAAACCTGGAGCTGCCTCCTGAACTTAGTCCTGGAGGAAGCTCTCTGAGTTTTGATACTGGCTTCCTCTCCTGGAGCCATGTGACCTCACCGAGACTGACCGTCTGCCCTGGGATGAAATGGAGAATAGTAACCCTCCAACATTTCCCCTGTAGCTCAAGAAAGGGGGACTGCGCTAGGGGGTGAGTTATTTTTAAATCAAAGTATGCATATTAAGGAGTCAGGTGATTCAGTAAGGCTTGTAACAATGGATCTGCCATCCCTGCTTTTTCCTTTTCTAAGCCCTGCTCCACCCCATACCCTTCCTCTCCCCTTCCCTGCCTCCTGCTTTCAATCCTGGCTCCTCTGTGTCTCTGATATTAAGCCTTACCTTCTACATACACAGACCCTAACTCCCCTCCATTACTGTGTTATTGGGTCTTAATTTTGGTAAGATCAATATTCTGAGCATTGGAAAAGTAGTGCTGAGCTATTGAGTCATACAGTGACTCTACCCTGCTCACTTCCTGATATTTTGTTGTCTTGTTCTTATCACTAACTGATATAAAAACTCCCAGTTGTCTGTCTGATTTGTCTTGGGACCATAAAGTGATAGGCATGGTCTCTCCATCACGGAAGGAAGCCTCCCTCAAGCTTCTTACCTCATCTGGACAAGTCATACATCTGTCCTGAGAGCATCCTCATCCTCTGTTAAATTTACCATTTTCCGTAGCCCATTTTTCTTCCTTTCTTTCTTTCTTTCTTTCTTTCTTTCTTTCTTTCTTTCTTTCTTTCTTTCTTTCTTTCTTTCTTTTCTTAGTCCCTTATTTTTGTGGAGAATGCTCTCTAGCAGCTTCCTGAGAAAGAGCTGGGGAGGAGTCTTTTTGAGACCTTGTGTGTCTGAATGTGTGTTTATTCTGTCTTCACATTTCAATGATAATTTGAGTATAGAGTCTAGGTTCGAAATAATTCCCCTTTAGAGAACTGATGGCACTGCGTTAGTTGGAAGTCTGAATCCTTTCTGATGACTTGGTGCCTTTGATCCATTTTCCTTGCCGGGAGCTTGGGATGTTTACTTCTTAGTGTGGCAGACTGGACAGTGCAGAGCTGGTTTACTTTTCAGTGGACTGAGCACTTCACTCCTTTGAAGCCCCGAAATCACATCCTTCAGTTCTAGGAACTTCCTGAGTTACGTGATATCCTCCACACCTTTTTCTTTTTTTCCCTAAGCTACTGAACAAATCCTCTAATTTCCCAGTTTTTTTTTTCTGACCTTGTCCTTTATGTCCTATTTCATGGATGCAATCAATACCTTTTTAAAAAATATTAATGATAATCTTAATTTGTTAAAATAGTTCCCATTTTTGGCTCTGGCTTTTGCTCTGGTGTGTGTCCTGCCAAGGCTTTCCTTGGCTGCCTGGTGCTCTTTAATCTCATATTTGAGAGCAGACTGAAGTGCTGGAGGGAAGCTCAGTGTGCGGGAGGTGCTGGTGGGACTGTGGCACCTTTGTCTCCGGCAGTGCTTTCCCACTTGTGATTTTTGTGGCAATATGTCAAGTATTGGCAATATTGAGACTTTTGGTTGTCACAGTTGGGGGATGCTACTGGCCAGAGAAATGTTGCTATGAACACTTACAGTGTACAGGAGCTCCACAACAAAGATCTGACTAAAATGTCAAAAGTGTTGAGGTGGAGAAACCCTGGGTGAGGGTGATCCCAGAGGAGTCAGGTCTTAGTGTGACTTGAATCTGTGGGGCTGGTGGGGAAGAGGTCACTGTACAGCAGCAAAGTAGGTTTACAGCTGTGAGTACCGGTATGCAAAACAGTTTATTCTTATTATTTATTAATTGTTTATCTTCCATACAAGCAACTGTAAACCTACTTTTGCCCCACCCTATATTTCTCTATTTCCAGCACAGGTAGTTCCTGCTTTGTGGCTTCAGCATGCACAAATTCTATACCACCGTTTGGGTAAATACTCCAGTCTCCCAGCAACATGGTTCAAATTTCAGTTGCTGTGGACATGTACTAACTCGGATGCTAGCTCTTCAGTCCAGAAAGCACATTCACAGAGCAGATGCGCATCAGCACCAGTGACCAGCCCAGGCCCCTCCTCTCATCTGTTGGTGGCTGGTTGCTGCACGTCTGTGAACTCTGCTCACTCGGGATGACAGAGCTCGTGGCGGCGTCTCCTGTTCTCCTGGCAATGGAGAGGGCTGCAGAGCTAGTGCTTTCAGTGCCACTGATGTGTTAGCTCCTCATTCTCTTAGCGACTTGAACGGAAGTGTCAAAACTTGCTTTTTTAACATCAAACACAGCTCTCAGCAATTCGGCCAGTAGACAAAGAGGTTATTTTCACTTTCCATGGACTTTAGGACAGACTATTGCTGCTATGACTGGAGATTTTACAATTTCTTTAGCTGAGGCTTGGAAGAAATTGAAAGCATCATAACAAAATGTGACAGTAATGCATAGTGTGGCAGAATTTAAACTGAACATAAGCTGGCTTGTATTTGACCGTGGAAAGGCTGGCGCTGCTGCTATGAGAGGAAGTTGACGAAGGTGACCTTGTCAACATGAGGGAGGAAACGGTGCAGATGTCGCAGAGGAAGTGACTGACGGGATTTCACACGCAGGGACTTCTCAGAGATGGTTCCTCAGAGTTGGTTGTGAAAAAAGTATGATGTGGGAAGCCCATCCCAAAACACTTCCAATATTCTAAAGATTTAAATCAGTGTACTAAGTAAATAATAGCTTAATTATTTTTTAAAAATGTATATTTTATTGATTTTTACAGAGAGGAAGGGAGAGGGATAGAGAGTTAGAAACATCGATGAAAGAGAAACATCAACCAGCTGTGATGTGCCCGCAACCAAGGTACATGCCCCTGACCGGAATCGAACCTGGGACCCTTCAGTCCACAGGCCAATGTTCAATCCACTGAGCCAAACCGGTTTTGGCTAGCTTAACTACTTTTTGATTTCTATATACATTTATTACTGTCATTGAATGTTTTGAGA